CCAGCCTGGCTGCACGGGACAGCTGCCCCAGGCCTCCACACATCCCCAGGGCCGCCTCCAGCCCTGCTCCACAGGCACATCCTGCTCCTGCTGGGCCCAGCTGGACACAGCTCCACACGCGCGGCCTCACGGGCACAGCTGCGCCTCCCGCCACCTTCAGCCTCAGGCACCTGAGCACCACTGTAGCCTTCCTGTGCCCAAAGAACCCACACCAAAACACACCTGCCCAGAGAAAAGAGAAATTTAAACCCTTCCTTAACCCTCCTCCTCCAGCCTTATTGGTCTCTTGCTGCTTTAACTCTTATGGGACTGCTCTAACTTGAACCCGAGTAAATAGCAATTAAAACAGAATCCAAGTTTGTTGCAGTTTGTTTGGGTTTTTTTCAAACTGTTGAAACTATCTAACCATTCAGATCCTTATTTCAAGTCTCTGAAATCTTGACATTGTCAGGTGTTTAACTACTCCTCTACTAGAATTTCCCAACAGGCCCGAGGAGCTTTGCTCTGCTCCCAGGGACAGCACCTCCCTCCTGAGGCCCTGCTCTGCTCTCCAAGGAGACACAGCAAAAAAAGCAGAATTAATAATCAGTTTTCCTTCTAGCCACTCTGCCACAGGACCTGGGTTCAGAGGGATGGGCTGGGGCTCCTGAGAGCACCAGGGAACCCATCTCAGCCCTGCCAGATGCAGGAATGCTCCTCAGCCCCTGGTCCCTTTGCTTGGGTGCCCTCTGGTGTGGGGAGAACGGTGGAAATTGATCCAGGGCTGTGGAGGGCACAAGGATATGTTCAGCTCGTGCTCTACATGAGGAGCCTCATTTCTTACAAAAATTTCTCGTTTACTACAATTCATCCTTTTGGGTAATTAGGTATCAAGTGTTGAAGAATGGGTGGGGATGACTCTTCCATCTTTTGAATAGCCCTAAAGGAGATTCAATGCTTTATATCAAAATGCTAAGATGCTAAAGCAATTCCAAATATGCATTTAATAGATGAATAATTAAGCTCCTTGGATGGGTCCCAAAGCACAGAATAGGAGAAATGGACAGTGCAAATATGCTGTCTGTCTGTTTTGGGCTTCTGAAGCTCAAAAAACCCCAATTCTTCTCTGCCTACAGATCAATGATGGAATCAGCTGAAAATGTGCTTTTCCTTCCATTGACAACTATGCACCAAGATCAAAAACAAATTTTAAAACACCAAAATTTTCAAAAGAAAACTGCCTCAGCTGATGCTGTTGAGCCAAAACAACATCGGTTTCAACTTATTATAAAATCAGCTGAGTGCCATTTCATTGCAGGTCAATTAAGATCAAATTGACTTGACCATAAATGCTTTCTTTAAATGCTCTTTTCAATGAAAATACCTAGCATAGCATGTCACCTACGAATATAGCTATTTAAAAAGACATTTCTACTTACTGCCATTGCATCCACCAAGAAGTTAAAAGTCTAGCAATAATGAGAAACAGAAAACATTGGTCTAAAATTTATGGCCACCCTAGAAGTAAATCATTTTATGTGTGTCTGTGGAAGTATTATCTTTGAGTAATTTTGACAACTCAAGTAGTTCTCATTAATAGGACAAATCAAAAGATCACTTTTTATCAGGCTAATACTAATCTTTTAATTTTATTAAGATCAAACCAAATAAAAATTAGGGGATAAAATGAACCTTGTTTATTACTACCTCTGCCTAAATATGGCAATACTAAGACATCTTCAAGTATGACTGAGGACACAGGCAAATAACACAATAAAGACAAAAAACCCCAATTAAGGGTCCATGTCCACACAGATAACCAAATTTTAACACATAGAGGACTTAGTTCAATTTGGTCATCTGAGTTTTCTGTTTTACTTTTATATAACAGAAGTCATTTTCTTTCCTCTCTTATGTCCAATTATTATATCTCTGGACAATTGCCTTTCTCTTCAAGGTAACTTAGGATTAAACTGCTGTAATTAAAGGAAGGGAACTACAACACAGTGTACTGCTAACAGCTCCAGGTCAGGAACCAATTTCATCCATTCAAACACACATTCCTTCAAAAGCCTCCAGATTCTAACTCTAATGAAACCTTGCAAAACGAAATGCAGCAGTTTGTTAACATACCAGTTATTCTCCAAGAAAATTGCTTTCCATCTTCTGGGTATGTGCACAACCTGCTCCTCTCTCCATCCTCTGAGCATTGAAATCATGACATTTGCACCTAAACATCCACCAGATTGTGGCCTGAGAAGTACAAGGCCTTGCATCCCAAGCAGCGCCTGGTTCTTTTCCCTGTACAACACACTCTTGATTGGCCACAATTATTAGTCAATTATTATTAAATTATTATTTATTGGCCACAAGAACTACAAAGCCCATGGCTTTAACACATTTCCCCCAAATCAGTGACTACAGTGTGATGAAAAGAATGAGCTTCTGACTGCTCAAACCAAGAGCCTTATTTCCACATCTCTGTCTATCAGCACAGTCCAACACAGAAGAGCAGACAGACTAGATTTAAATCAATCAAAACTTTATTTCTAACTAAACTCAGCAAAAATGAAACTATGTACAGGAAGAACTATATACATAAAGAAACAAGCCTCTACATTGCCTATTCCCCAGGATCCATCTGACTCCTGAGAAACAGAAGCACTCCTAAATAAACTGGAAAATACATTTCTGGATTGCATTCCGCTCTGCAGGTTGGGCACATGCTGGTAGTGTCCAGGGCAGCAGGGAGGCACGCGCTGCAGAACACGATTGACACAAGCTCTCGTGCACTTTGCCCAATCTAGAAGAAAGAAAACAACAACAACATGTATTGGGAGGAAAGAATTCGAGTTTGCTGCTCTATTGGCACCAGGCAAATGAGACTTGAGAGCATCTGCAATCAATTAGAACAATGAGGGACCAAAGGATCTGCCAGTGCCGTCCTGGCAAGGGCTTCTCCCTCTACATTCACCACCAAGAAGGGACTTGTGGAGCTTCCCAGCAAGGGCTGTGGTTCCAGCCAGCTGCCCACATCAGCCAACTGACTTGTGCAACTCCCCTGTTGGCTTCTTCCTCCTCCCACAAAGCACAAAGCATGACAAGAGGTGGAGCCTTACCTCCGAGTAAAAGTCCATGCAAATTGGACACTTAATAACAATTCCTGGCTCTGCACTAGAGGGAACAGAAGCAGAAAGAACATGCAGCTGTTAATATCATCACACTTCAATGGTTCTTCATACATAAAATCTCAAATAATCATGCAAATGCACTGACTAGCCCTGGCACATTTCCTCTGAAGAAGCCTGCTGTCTTTAACTCTCAGTTTTCTGCATTTAGGGAGGATTTGGGGTTTCCCTGCTCTGAAGTGTCCTGGTTGAAAAAAGGTGTAGTGAGTCAGCCATCTCTGAGATTTGAAGCAAGTAATCCCCATTCTCTGACATACCCCCACACTTGTCTCCAAGGTTCTGTGCAAAGCAAAGGTTCATCTGCCTCAGGCAGCCTTTTTCTCTCCAAATGTAAATGGTATCATTTCATCATCATGGGCTCTCTTTTCAATCACTTGAAGCAACAACCTCTTTTAGGGTGTTCATCCACTCTCTGCAACTGATTCTCAGGTATGCTGATGTGTTTGTGAGTGTGTTTGGGGTTGACTGGGAACTGTGTCTAAAGTGCTACATCAGAGGCATCTTTCAGCCTTGGAGGCCAGGGGACTTAGTAAGATTCCAGAGGGCATGAAAATTAATCTGCATGCAACATGGAGAGGAGTGTGCCAGTCACTACTTACCATAGGAGATTCATCATCATCACCGAGAGTGACAACATCAGGCTCCGATGATTTGCCTGATACAACTATAAATTCTCCATGAACTGAAAAGAAGAGAATTAAGAATGAAGGTCAGAGATTGCAGAGCAATGAAATGGGCTGCCTCTGTTGAATAGGCTGTGCTTCATTTCAATGTACCCTACATTTCAGGAATGTGCCCAATATTTCTCTCAGGCTTTGCCCTCAATAGTCCAGAGGGAGCATTGCCAGCCCTGTCCTCAGAAGGGGCAAAACAAGAGGAAGAGCACCTGAGCTCCTCACAAGTTCTGTTGGGTGACAACAGCTTATGAGACGTTCACCCCAACAGATCATTCCTCTCACACAGGGGAATGTTTAGCACACAGGAGAAAGAAACAATCAAAACTAGAGGGGATGATAATTTTACA